GCGTGATTACTATTTTTCATTAAAGTAACCACACAGAGGCCTTTCTGGTAACTTTCATGACTGGAACAATCACTATTTTTTATAAAAGTAGCGACACAGAGGTTAATTGCTCCTAGTGGCATGCACGTGTTCACTTTTGTACAAAATAAGAGTCATGTGCATCCTATTCTGTTAAAGCGCTCTTTGGAACAATCACTATTTTCTGAAAAAGTGGTAACACCCAGCTAGTTCAGTTGGAAAGCTCTTTGGAACAATCACTATTTTTTGAAATAGTGGTAACGCACAGGTAGTTTTGCCTTTAGATCATGCGCGTGATCAGTTTACTCAAAAATAGTGATCACGCGTAGCCTGTTGCTCTAAATCAAACTTGTGCGTGTTCATTTTTGTACAAAATAGTGATCACGCACAAGTTGTTCACCTCACCCAACTCTTGAACGATCACTATTATCAGAAATAGTGATAACGCAGGATCACTCTTCATGGGCGCTGTTACTTTTGAAAGAAAAAGTGATAACGCACAAGTCAATCTGATGAATCCACATTTTATTGGATTTTTACTTATCTTTTTAGTGTTCTTTAATAGAAAAAAATAGACTTAGGAAGTGTAAATAACATAGAAAGACCATTTTGGTAAAATATCATAGGTTTCTTAATTTTTGGTTAATTTACATTGATTTATATAGATATAATTTGAATTTTGATCATTTGAATAATTGTGCAGGAATTTCTAGACTTATTCCATGGATTTTTAGCATTTGAGAATGTTTGAGTTGAAAGTGACCACTTTGGATTCCATTGTGGACACTATAGCAAGCTAGATCCAGAAGGGCAGACCAAAGTGATACTCTAATTCCATAGTAGACACTACAGAGACCCTAGTTGAAGAGGTGATGCGTGTACCTACTTTGGTTCTATAGTAGACACTCTAGGGCAGACCAAAGTGAACACTCCAGAGAAGGCCAAAGTCACCTAGTTTTACGCATAGCTACTATGAACCCATAGTAGACACTCCAGAGAGGGTTAACAACATGGTGACCTGGGCGTAACCACTATGAAACCATAGTAGCTACTATAGGAGTACTGCGCGTCATCACTATGAAACCATAGTAGCAGAGATTTAGAAATTAGGGTACAGAGCTTTTACACACTTTTAACTTCTTTTGCCATTTTGGAGAACACTTTCAGAGCTTAGGTCATCCTTGGGTGACAGCCAAGGACCAATCCTAGGGTTTGATTCATATTTCTTCTTTACTTTCCTTTAATTTTTACATTGATGTCATTGATTTCCTTTTGTTTTCATCTTAAATTTGTAAGACTCATCCTCATGGAGGGCTAAACTTTTAGTTCATGGATTCATGAATTCATGGGTATGAATGTCAATATAATTCCCTTTCCTTCATGAATTTATATTTTCTAACTCTTTGAATTGAATTAATGGTTGAATGAGGAGGACATTACTTAATTAACCCTAATTCATTTTAATGAAATTCTTAACTTAGTTTGCTTAATTCTAAGTTAATTTTTAAGGTTACGTAATCTTGGAGAAAAGAGTTGGAGTCCATTAAATTTGCTTAAATTCGTATGGGGTTTTAAGGTTAATTCTTGCTTGTTGAGTTAATCTAATTCAGAGGAAGAGGAAAAGTATTTAATCTTGAGAGGAATAGGGATAGAATCACATGAATGAACTAAATATTGCTACATTTCATTGATTAAACTCATTAATTTCATCACTTGACTTTACATTAAAATTGGAATCACACAAAACCCCCTTTTCAATTGCTTTCATAGTAAATGTTTACAACATGTTCTGTAACACCCTGAGGTTTCCACTCCTTTCACGCATGTATGAGTATATATACATATATATATGCATGTCAAATTTTACTTTTATGAGATTTCTTTTATGTTTTAGTTACCTTTATTCATAATTATCTTGAATTTTAAAACATGATTGGAGCCGTTTGTATCCATAGTTCACTATGTTGATACCACCTAATGTTTCCCACCCAATGCCTCATTATATTTTTTTTTACTTCAAATTCCTAATATTAGTTGTACATGTTCACTTTTGGTTTATTATGCAAACAAATTTACATTCCTTCATACGGCCTATGGTTCGGTGAGTTACTATACAATTTATAAGGAGAAGGTAAGCCATTACTTTGACAAGAGTCACGACTAAATTTTGAGGGGTTACTACTTTTAAGGAAGGGAATCCTAACGTCATTGAACTACTTCGTGAAAGCTGCCCTTAAGATGTGTCTCCCTTCCTTTGTGGACGTATAACGTAACCCAAATTACCCCAACCCCTGTTCTCTTTTTGCATGGCATGAGTTTAAACGTCTATCCCTTGGTATTGCATGTGTACTCCACTATCCCTTCCTCTCGGTTAGGTTGAGTAGCCAACTCCTGCACTTGCGTGATGTGTGGCAAGCAACAAGCAAAAGTCCTGCTCTAAATCTTAGTGGAATGGAGTGTCGATCTTACAATTAATGCCCCATTCACCTGCTCCTAAAACGTGTCCCTCTTTTGCCCATATACTCGCCATATGAACACATTAGTTCGGTCCTAAAATGACCATTCCGTTGCACCCTTATGGATCTATAATTATAATCCAACTGCTCACTAAACACACATACAAGATGAGTGACCTTGGAATCCTTAATGAGTTGCTCACAGTCTCATCAACTTAAGGTACTACTGCACTACACTCTCGGGATATTCTAATTTCTAGACGAAAGCCAGTAGAGGAAGCCCAAATTAGACGTATTCTGCATACAGATAAGAATGAGAAGTTAAATTGACAAAAAGGACAAAAGAAGAGAGAAAGGAGGAATATAATATAGCTTTTAATTTCCCACCAAATAAAAAGGGTAACCATCCATGAACTCTTAGTTTCCTTTACCCCTCTCATATACACTCTTCTTACATCGTACCCTCTTATTCTGTCGCTCCTAAAGACTGCATTAAGGTTTGCAGCCAATTAAATTGAAGTTCACTACAACAATATCTTTCCCTCTGTCATACGATCCTTGTTAGTAGGTAAGAGGCGTCCATATTGCCAAAAACTTATTAAATCTTATTGCACGTTTAGTTGAAAGTTTTTGCATGAGAATTGATAAAGTCATCGTTTTATTGGAAAAAGAAAGAGATAGTGAGGCATAAAGATATAAACCATATTTAGCAAATTTCATTAGTTCCATGACTTCGTCCTTGCATGTGGAGAACCGTGCCACAAATTGTGCTTGTTATGAGATGACAAAAAAATTAATAAAAATTAAATGGTGGAGTGGATGAACATGCTAAATGATCTTGGCTGTACTGTGAGCAAAGATTTTTGTATTGTGATAATTGTTCTGTGTGCATACAGATTTCTCCTTTTCTATTTCCTGTTGGTGGTTGTTTAAGTATGACTTAATTCGTGAAGAATATGCATGTTGTAGATAAAGAAACAAATTGAATAAAGAATTGTCTTATGTTTCACATGTTATGTGAATTAATGTTTTTTTTATTTTTATGATTGAGGTATTGGACAAATTGAATATACAATAGTAATAAAATATGATTACACTGTACTACCGGAAAAGGTGTCAATGATGCTAGATAATGGAAATTTAGGAGAATAAGTGCAGATTGATAGAAACCAAATTAAGGACAAATTACAATTAGACGGGAATAGTACATGGTGAAATTAGAGATAGACCTTAGATAATAATAATAATAATAATAATAATGATAATAATAATAATAATAATAATAATAATAATAATAATAATATAAAGAAAAGAGAGAAAGAAAACGTTTTATATATATATATATATATATATATATGTGTGTACGTATATGCCACGAGATTTTGTTTTTAATTTTAGGTGTAAAATAGTGAGTAAGATGAGGAGAGTAAAGTGAACTTCAAAGACGCAGATGTAGAGCTGAACAAAATATATATATATATATATATATATATGTATATATGGGTCCAATAAATTTTTTGGCTATTAATAATAGTCCTTTATTTGTTAGTTAGTTTAATAATAATTATAGTGCACTCATGAAAATAAATGACAAAAAATTTTGAGTTCGAAAGCCTTAGAAAACATAGACTTCCATCGGATAGTTCCCAACATAGTTTAATCCTAGTTTCATAAATTAACAAATATAAAATAAAATAATGAATAAATTATGTAAATCCTATGAGTAGTAAGTATTCTCAAATGATTAGGAGACCTTTAATTCAAGAATCTGTAAAATTAAAGGGATCATACAATATAACAAGAATAGATTTAACTTTAAATGACTTAGCCTGCTGACTTAGTGTGATATGATTATTGCGTTGATTTAGCTAGAACTTGTAAGGATAAAGTAAAGAGGTGAATTAAGACCATCATACTTGTTAAAAAGGAATTGACTTAAGGCTATAGTTGGCACAACTTGTGTTAGGATCAATGACGAACCTTAAGGATGGTAAAAGGGGGGAATGACCCAATGGCGCAAAGTAGCTTACTGTGACCGGGTCATGTCGCCAGTAAACCCTTGCCAAGCCTAACGTGAACACCTGTTACCAGGATCACAGTAGGCCCATTCCTGAATGACACTCGTGAAGTGTAAGGTTGACCATTGTCACAAAATTGTGAATGTGCTAGATGTGATAGTAGGGAATGGAGTCCTCCGATCGCCTTGAGATTGAAAGTGAATTAAATGGAAATTGGTATATGGGATCCCCATGCATTGCATAACAGCAAGAAATTATCATAAAAGAAAAAGTAATCTCCATAATTTACTTGCATCATGCATCATCTCATTTATGAATAATAATGAATTCCGTTTTGTCTTATTTCAAATGCAGCATTGATTCTTTGATGGATTTACTATTAATAAAGTATTTCTTTTACATGTATTCACTTTGATTGATATTATGGACTCACCCTTTCTTTTCTCTTTTGTTTTCCCCTTTGTGGTGTATGTCTGTTTGTTTGGTGCATTGTGTAAACTGTGTGCAGATGGGTTCCGAAATGATGAAGGTGTCGGTACTCCCAACCGATGATGACTTGTGGATCTACGATGATACCACCCAGCAGACGATCTACCAAGGGTTTGCCAAGATGACCCTTGGGTCAGTTATTGAGGTGGGTTGGGAGACTCGTTGTATCACAGATATGCCTGTTGAGATTGTTTTTCCTCTACCTTTGTACGCTACCAGTATACCATTCCCTCTCATTCCACCTGTGGCCGCCCCTGCTCCTATGGACACTGATATTCCTGTTCCCTTACCTATCCTGAATAGTACCCCCGATTCTCATGTACCTCGACCCTCTTCCTCTCCTCCCGTTGAGCCTGAGTGTGTGGACATTCAGGTGATTGAGTCATCTATTAGACCTCGCCCTTCTTCTTCACCTCGCCGTCTGTCAGCCATTGATGAGGCCGGACCCTCACATCGTAGTCCTTCACTACCCCTATCCTCCCCATACTCCCATATACCTCCACCTACTCCCGGCTGGCTGGAAGATGTAGACGAGGACCTGCCCAGTTTGCCTTCCAACCCGGACGCTACCCTCTCTACTTCGCCTGACTCTGATCCCTCAGAGGAGTATACTCCTCTGGATTGACTTAGTGTTATGTATATCCATGTGTGTGTTTCCTTTCTTTTTGCATGATGGAAATTTTGAGAGAATTAATATGGGGATTGTTAGTTACTTTTTGAATGCTTTGGATGATGTGTAGTTTTGTTCTCCTAGGGGTGTGACATGTGTTGGGATCTCTTTTATGTTTTATTAGTCTCCAAATGAATTATGTTGTGGCTATGTATGGTAAATTAGTTAATTTTAAATTTCGCTTGACAAATAAGTTTAGCCTTTAAAATTTCACTTAGATTGATTACATGACAACTTAAAAGAATGTTACGAATGATGCACACTTAAATTACAAGTAATTAAATGAATATTTGGTTATGCACGTTAACTCCTATATTTACAAAATTGTGTGTGTGATATTACGATAAAATATTATGCCCTTAGATATATGTTTACTGTATTTGAAGCTTGTGACGTTAGGGTGTCACATGTTCAATGTATGTTACCAACCAAAGTCATTGGAGACAACCTAGGCTTGCATCCTAGACTACATAAAAATTCTGCATATTTTGATGAGATTGGCGACAAATCTTTATGCAAACGAAAATCGTATCATCACAATCCTTGAAATAGGCTCTGGAATGATCACTTTTCTTTAAAATAGTGATCACGCCCAACACTAGCTTCATCAATTCTTGTTCCTTGTCTCCAAAATTGCTACTTTTCTTCTACCTTTCTCTTGATCTTCTAGCCTTATGAACTTAGCTCAAAATTTCCTACAAAATATGTTCTAATCATTAATTTTTACACAGAAAAGTAGCTATGTAGAAAAGACTTGATCATTCTATTATTTTTATGAGTTTTTCAGCTTTCTCCATCATGTTTTCTATATTAAATGTATTAAAAACTAAGGTAAAATACTAGTAAAATATGGATTTATCAATTTACTGAAAGTTTCAAATTTGTTTAATTATAGGTCTGCCCAGCATACTTATTTAAGATGGATGATTGTATGCTTACAATGTTAGGAATTTCTTGTAATAAAAGGAAAAGTTGGATGTAACATGTGTATTTTCTTGTACTGACGTGGATTGTATTTATGGACTGTGGTAGGATATATCTAGTTTTGGATGCAAGTTTCTTTCTTTTAGTTTTGGTTAGTATGATTATTTGAAGCTAGGATATAGGCACGTCATACTTATAACCAGACAAATGTTCTGCAAATTTGGTAAGATAAAGACTTCTAGGGACAACTAGAACCACTCAAAGAGTAAGAAATAAGTAAACCTGCTACACAAGAAATCAAAAGTGGGGATTTTTCCCTTCACGTATTTAGTTAGAATCTAGCCTACCTCAAAAATACTTTATCCTAATTTTTATATATACTAAATGATTTCCTTAGGATATTTGTTTGGGTTTGATTTGTGAAATTTCATAAGAGTATTACGTCAGTTAAAAATCACAGCTTCCACACGTTTAATATCTATTTAATTTAACTAGAAATTTAGCCAAAAACAATATTTTATAGCTAGGGAGTAAATAATGTGTTAATGGATTCGGTGTGTTTCGTATTCATTTAAGTTAGTGAATAGTATTAAATAATGTATCCTAATAGTTGTAAAATCACCATGTCCATACGTGATAGATGCTCATTTAATTTAACTAAGAGGTTAGAGAAAGACAATAAGCGAAAACATCAAGTGGATTATATATATTAGTGAATTTTGTTATTTCATCTCGTATGGGAATGATTGGTAACATTTATTTGTGCAGTCCAATAATTATTAATTGTTGTGCTTATATATGATTGATGTTCATCTGATTTCACCAAGAGATTAGAAATGGTACAAAATGGGAGGATAGACTGTGGACTATGTATTAGTGTTGTTTTACTATTTTATTTTGTTTGGGTTTGATTTGTTATATTTAAATGGATATACTCAGGATTTAACTAAGTGTGCATATGCGTTGAAACATTTGCATGAATGCATTTGGATGATAAAAATGGGGGAGTCAAGATCACAGAATAGCACACTGTGGGACACAGTGTCTTGGTTCACGGGGAACCTTGTGGGTAGTTAAGGGAGAGGATGACCTAAAGGGCGGGTGTCACACTTCAGAAGAGAAGTTAATTTGATTAGCAAGTGTACTAGTGATGATGTAGCAAGTTATAAAAATGATAGAACTGTGTTAGAGTCCCAAGTATCATTCTCAGGGAATAAAAGTGCTCAATTATCATTTCACAATGCTACAATTAGTTGAGCTTCATGAATTTTAGATGGAATTTGGAATTAAAAGTAACAAATATTAAATTCAGAAAGGAAACAGAACACTGAACATGCAAATGTGTGATTAACAGATGTGGAAGACATAGCTAGGGAATTGTTTCACCAAAACTTCAATGTTGAATCAATAAGGTTCTGACTTTTCAAGTAATTAGAAGGAATGACAATTAATTTCATGTTATATTATTCAAAGGTTAATTCCTTAACTCAATGAACCTAACATTCAATCAAATCACTCTAATTCCTTAGATCTAGTTCAATTAAATGTTGCATTAGGTGTTAGAAACCAGAAGATTGCATAGTCAAGTTATCTTATCCCTAAGACATCTATAATCCTGGTAATTGATTTAGATATGAAGAACAAATTCAATTTCCATTGACAAGAGTTTCTCTATAATTAGTTAATCAAATTTCCATTCTATCACTACGTGAATTTGTAGAATCAATCACTCAATTCATTAAAATACTCAAAATTCAGATCCATAATTGATTCAACACATTCGTTTTGGATTCACAATCCCTAACTATGAAGAATTCAAGCAACCATTACAACAAAAAAAGAGAAAGAAAGAGAAGAGGAGAATGAACTCAGAAGAGTCATCTTCAACTGATCTTTAATTTGATTCCTCTAGGTTGAAGCTCGGTGTTCATCCCCAATCGCTCTCCTGGACTCTCTACACACTAAGAAACTAAATGGAAACGAAAAATGAATAAAAGATCCAAAGATCTGAGCGTTTCTTCAATTTATAGATTTCCTGCCATGAGCGCGTTACTAATCTTCTTCACAAGAGTAGTCATGCAGAGGCTTATCTAGTGTTCTCTGAGACTGGAACGATCACTTTTCTTCATAAAAGTGGCAACGCTGGAAGTTGAGTTGTGCGTGTGTTCACTTTCATGAGCAAAAGTGGCCACGCGTAACTTGCATAGCTACATGTCTCTCTGGAACAATCACTCTTGTTGGCGAGAGTGATAACGCGCTACTTGCTTAACATGAAGCTTCTCTGGAACATCCACTTTCACCAGCAAAAGTGATAACGCACTCTTTGTTGTGAATGAGGTTCCTCTGGAACGTTCACTTTCACCAGTATTAGTGTCAACGCGCAACTTGCTAAGTTTGGAACTTGTCTAGAACGTTCACTTTCACCAGCGAAAGTGACAACGTGCCTTGTGTTCTGCTGAAAGACTCTCTGGAACACTCACTCTTATGGATAAGAGTTATTACGCACAGATTCCACTCCATATTTAAGCTCTGGATCAATCACTTTCGCCAGTAATAGTGATCACGCCCAGCTCCAACTCTATTAAACCTTGTTCTTTGCATCCAGTTTTGCTATTTTTCTTCTATTTTTCTATTGATCTTCCATCTTCATGAGCTTTGGTAAGATTTTCCTACAAAAATAAGATTGAATTATTAATTTTTACACAGACCATTCATAAATGCTAAAATAACAATGTATCTAAAAGAAAACCTTAACTATTCTTTTTTTTTTATGAGTTTTTCTACTTTTTCCAACATATTTTCTTTATCAAATGCATTAAAAACTACAGTAAAATACTAGCAAAATGTGGATTCATCAGCAGGGACTAGCTCACCTCTGCTGGGCCACGTAAGCATAGAAACCCTTACTAAACCTGGCATTGGTAAACATTACCAGGGTCGAGGTAGGCCCATTCCTGAACACCACCCTGCTACGAGGGTTAAGTAATAGACTGGAAATGAGATAGTGTTGTACAGTAGGGAATGGAGTCCTCCGACCTTTTTGACTGGAAATGAAATAGTGTTGTACAGTAGGTAACACACAAGTCAGTTCCTGAAATAGTGTTGTACAGTAGGGAATGAAGTCCTCTGACCTCCGACCTTCCAGGATATTAATGTTCATGATTATCACAAATAGGGTCATTTGTCAACAGGTTTTTCAATTTCTCGCTATGAACTATTTTTGACATAAGTAGTAGTCTTGTAAATGGGGTGTTACAATTTAGTGGTATGAGAGCAGTGCAATCTATTTGGCCTTAGGTATGGCCAAAACTACCTACCTCTGTGTGATTCTGAATGTTTAGAACTAATTGATATATGTTTTGCTTGGTTAAGCGTATTTTGCTTAAATGAGATTGATTCTTGATAGTCTTAAGGTTTTGGTTGCCTCCTACTATCTTATGTGCCTATGACTTGTTTTTCAGAGTTTTATGGCTTGGAAATAGAGGAATATGACCTTTTATGCCTTACTTGAGAGAGTTGTGGGTATTTTGGAGATGCAGTAAGGGCTAGCTCCAAATACAGGGTTGTCTGAGTTCCGTAAGAACAAGCCCTCCTAATTTCGCGGCGGGTTTGATCCCGATGGGGCTCAACTTTGGTTTGAGGATTTGGAGAAATCTTTTGAGGCGATGGCATGTTTGGATGAAGAGAAGGTGACATATGTTACTTTCATGTTTGCTGGGGAAGTGGAGGATTGCTCGCCAACAGCTAACAACAGCAGGAGTAGTGATAGATTGGCAGACATTTCGCCAAAGATTCCTTGAAAAGTACTTTTCTAAGGATCTTAGAAGAAGGAAGGAGTTAAAGTTTTTGAATTTGAAGCAAGGGAGTATGAGTATAAGCGAGTATGCAACTAAATTCGATGAGTTGTCAAGATATTGTTCCTATTTTGCTCACGCTGACGACCAAGCCCGCTGTTCCAAGTTTGAAAGTGGACTTCGACCCGACATTAAACAAGTTATCGGTTACTAGCAAATATTGCATTTTCCAGAGCT